AGAATTAGGTGGCTTTTATACATAATTTCATCAATTCAAGTTGCCGCCCACAAAGGAGAACACAACAAAAGTAGAGCTAAGGGGGACATGGATGTCTGGTTAGGCTAAACACCTCTTGGATACAGTATTCAGTCCACCTATAGCAATTGCAAACATACTGGGTTGCTTCATTCCTAGTTTGGGGGCTAACAGCAAAACAGCCTGACCCTCAGAGTCATTTCAACAATCTAGGCCTGTTCAACTATGCCTATGGTACGTGAAAAGATATCCACTTGTGCACAAAAATAGGGCACGCAACCACAAGCACTGTGAATACAATTAAGGAGCGTCTGGCCTTAAGCTTCTGAGGAAACCAACCTAAAACCTTTAAAAACTAAGATAGCCAACCTAAACCTTAAAAAATTAGAAAAACTTGGGCTTTTCTCATATATACAATTGAATTTGTCTTTAAGGAGAAAATGTTCACTTCAGGCAAAACCCAAAATATTTTAATTTGGGCTTCGCTGTTGCATTGCCTCTTGGGAGTTGTATTTCCTTTGTGTCATATATTATGCCCCAGTTTTTTCATTCTGGGACAGGCTCCCCTGTGAGGGCTTCATTTCTCTTGACACACCCACAATCATGAGTCAGGGAGACAGTGCTGCATCATGGGAATCTGATAAAGGACCCATCACGTACCAGGAATGACAGAGCAAGAAGAGAGGGGAAAGGGAGGAGGTAACTGAATTACTATCCCATGCAACTGGCTACCACCTGCCTGACTGAAAAAAGAGACAATGGAGAGCAAGAAAAGGTGATGAAAAGGTTTTGAATACACAAAGCTCCACAACTTTCTGAACTGCTGTTTAGTGATGCATTTTACATGTTCATTTCAAACATTTCATGTTAATGTATTTAATAAGTAGGAAAAAACACCATGCTTTTTCCAGAAGTCCCTGCATTCAAGCTGTAAGCAGACAATACAATCATTGTTTTCCATAAATGCATTCAACAAAAAACAGGAAGGTTATACTGGAACTATTTACACAGTTGAGAGACACCCTAGAGCCTACCTTGCTGTTCAAGGCTATGAGCAGGCCAGTGTGATATCTGATTAGACCAACACCGTACAGTCTGTAGCCCTGAAGGCTCTAAACTGTGGCATTCACCAGCAACTTGTGGTCAAAAGAAAATGTGTATTTGATTATGAATCAAAAACAATGTTTCTTGGCTTGTGGTTTTTCAAATGAAGTGTTTAAGCCAGCCCTGTTGCTACAGGCAGAAGGTAGGGGATGACTTCCCCAAACACCTCCCACTACCTGCCCCACAGCTGTGCAGTAGTTTAGTGTGAGCGAGGACTATTTTCTCTATGTTGCAGCTGTTTGGCAGTCCCTTCCCACTGGGCTCCTGTGGCCTGGCAGGGGAGGGAGACTAGCTGTGGTTGCTCCGTTGCCCCCTAGGCTGTGGGAATACAAGGGAGGGCCCAGCAGGCGCTCTGCTGGTTCTGCCATCTAAAGAAGTACTTGGCAAAGGCCGATGGGCCTTTTTCTTCCACCTAGTTAGTTAGGCAAAACATGTGAGGGGAGAAAGTGAAGATGCTTAGAACAATCACAGAGATACCTTCTCAAATACTGCCCCAGCACAAGTTGGAGCAGCCACAGTATTGTTCAAGCATCTGCCAACCAGCTACAGTCCCCCTTGGAGCTATTAAAGTATCAAATACTTAATACTCAAAGTATTAAGTACTATTAAAGTAAAGAACATGCAAGTAAATTGCACTACCACCACTGTCCGTTCCCATACACAAGATACTTCAAGGAGGACAGCATAGGAGTGAACTCTTTGATTTTTGTGTAACCTAGGGGATGCCCTCCACTTTGGTCCTGCAGGTGGCACTTCTTTTGAGGTGCCTGGGCAAAACAAAGGGTACAAAGCAAGGCAGATAATCTTCCCCAAAGGACTGATTCTGCCTCTTTGGTTATTTTGAAACAACACTTCTTCTAAATAATAAGTTTCAACACAAACATGCCGGACGGTAGCGAGGCATGAAAAATGTTGCATCTGGGAAACACCCATTTCACAACAAAGCATACTTAACAGGAACATAACTACTCAGTGCAGTGCCCAAATGGCTAGGAGAAAAACTGCAGTGGAACAGAAAATGTGTTAAACTGGAAAGAGAAAGGCCAGTGCTTCAGAAATATATTCAAAAGCTTCAGGATCCTTGAAGAAATGGTCCATACTGTACTAATATATGGTGAAATGCTGAACTACCACCTAGGGAGGAATAACCTGTTTTCTTGCAATATTTCCAAAATTCAAGAAAGATTTACATGCCCAGTGAGAGAGAAGTCTGTAATGTAATTGTAGGCAAGGTACAAAATAGCTCAGGGACAATGCACCCCATATTTTCCTCCATGCTGATCTTACATAACTTGCTCCCTTCCTGGTCCCATGTTGTATCAGTGTTGCTGTGCTGGTGTATGAAGGCCTTTATAAAGGAAATTAGAGTCTTTAAAAAAGGGAGAAAGACAGGGAGAGCAGGAGGAACACACACACACAGAATGTATCTTATTTCATGCCCACAATGATGAAATGCTGCTCTTCCCTACTCTCTCCCAACCTGTCCCTAGATCTACAACTGACTGAAGTGAAATCCCTTTAATGCTTTTTGTGTTCCCCTGATTAGCACTACAAAATCTGGAGCACCACTGTGAATACACAAGGGATTAGCAGGTAAGTAAATATTCTGTATATTCTGCCAAGTGATAGGTCCTTTAACTACTCACAAACATCAGACAGAAAAGCTCCCAAAGGTGCACTGGATGTTCAATGGACAGTTTTTGCTAACAGGACCATGTGCCATGCCTTCATTAAAAATCTACATATCCTAGGTTGCTCCAGTACTGCACCCTGCTAGTCTGATTGTGGCTACTGTCTATCACCAGGATGAATATAAATATAACTAATTCCTTTTTAATAATTAAAAAGTTTGTGTTACTGGCCTATTGGCTACTAGACAGAAAATCAAATACAGAAGATCCTGAATAAAAATCTGTGATAATGGGTTTCTTTTTAAAGCACACAATATTCTGCTCAAAACTTTGAGATCCCATAACTGTAGCTCTAACTATAACTAATTAAAGTCCCAGCTAATCAAAGTTAGATACTACCAGCTCAGGTAAAAGCTTGGATTGGAGTCTTCTAATTCTCTGCCCCTATGTCACCATAAGAAAAATTTTGCCCTGCACTTACTGTAGTTTGAGACATGAAAGGCCACTTCCTCATGTATGCAACAGTAGGCAAACATTCCCTTTAAAGAAATGTAGGTGTCTGATCCCATGACCAGTAAAACTCTTAATGGTAATGTTATCTTGGTCATGCTTCTTAAAGGTCTGTTAAGCCCTTGGCTTCACCTTGTAAGATGAAACTGATTATGCTCCTTTTGTTGAGGTCATAATTTTGCTTCTCAGAGAAAACATATTTAAAGGTCACCGGTGTGTAGTTAAGAAAAATCCAAAAGAGAAAAAAGCCCTAACCCCCAAAATAAAAGTTTGTATATTTAAAGGAACCAAGGGGGGTGAGGGGAAATCCCCAACCTTAAGCCCAGGGCCTAGACCTTGCAATTCACTGGCATGGAACAGCCACACCAGAGCCGCTGCTTTGATCCCAGCTCCCTACTTATTCGTCTTCCCATTACAGAACTCCTGACATTTCATTGGTATTCAGAGGTGATTAAAATATATCCCAATTCCTATAAATAGGAACATCAGTTTGAATACTAATTAAAAATAAGTCTGGCATTTGGAAACTCACATCAACAAAAAAATAAAGAGCTGAAATAAATAGCAACAGTTGAAGTGTTGCCCAGCAAAGTGTGGGTTTTTTTTGTGGGGGGTCACAGAGGAAAAGGCTAGACTTCAAGCACACTGGAGTTTCTATATTGCCATTGGGATTTATCTAAAATGTACTACAATGACCACCTAGCCATTTCAGTGCAACAGTAATGAGAAAGATTTTAAATTTCTGCTTCATTTTTAATTACTGGCATAAAAGTCCATAACATAAGCCATGCACAGTGCATTTCTATGTTGTTCACAGTAGGTTTTAATAACCTAGGAGCTAAATATCATGCTAAGCTTTGTCGTACTCCTTCATTCTGTTGGTATGGATATAGTCTCCTCAATAACTAACCAATTTTAATTTAGAAATATCATACCAGCTTCTACACAACATGAATTTCCTAAAATCTCTCAACTCTGTTTGAGAAGCCCACGGGATTACACACAGTACTTATATCTGGTAGTGTTAGCAGGACTGGCCCTAACTTAAGAAGAAAGCCATGCGGGACAGGGAGCCTATTGTCATTTTAGTGTGCAATGTACCATCCTCATTTATGGATACCATATAAATAAAAAAATTCCCCTATGCTTGTTAACTGGGTGCAGTTGGTTACTACTGGTTCCTCCTGAAAACTCATATCCCACAAAATAATTTTTTACTCTTTGATAACATCACAAATTTATATTTCAAGAGTGAGGCCTCAGTTGTAATTGAAAGCAAATAATGTAGGCTGACCATGAAGAAGAATTTTAGACTAAATCAGATTTAAAAAAAGTGACCTCATTCTGAGGTACAACAAAACCATAGCAGTTTCAATATACAATATCTATTATGCCCTAAGCAATTTACTTTGTGTGCGTGTACACGCTAAAGGTGCGTGCTGTACGCATGCATACACATACTGGAAATTATGTAACATGCTAATAATCTTATATGGCCCAACTATGGTATGCACGCCTATTGAAGAATACACATCATACTCTAACGTAACATACACATTCATGCTGAGGCATACAGAGTGAAGCATACTTTACCTGTGCCTCTTCATTGTTAAATACATGCAAGTTTAAACTTCTCTAACAGTAAATTGAGCACAAGGTCCTAATGGCGTGCCAGCATTCCTAGCCAACAGAACCATAACTTAGTTTAGTATCTCAGTAGGACTGCTAATGAATTACCTCTGCATCCTGCTCCTGGAGGCGATACGTTTTCTCTAAGCACTGAAGAGTTCGGGGACATAACGTTTTCTCCTCCAAGAGAGACTCCAGAAGTAAAACCAGCTGGTCTGGGAGAAGCTAAAAGCAAAATAAACGCCTTATAAGAATAAAACCATGCTTACCAAGCAATTAAACTGAAACAGATCAAAGAGGACAAGGCTACAATAACCTGTGTAATTCTAGTATGTGTTTGAAACGTGGGAAGACCTTCTATTTGATTTCTGAAAAACCTCAGAGTTTATAGTGTTTGTATTCTGAAAGACTCCATTCTAGGACCTAATTAAGACTCATTTTCTGTGGCTTTCCATTCCTATATTTAGATCAGATCAAAACCATGTTTATCTTATTGAAACGTTATCGTGACTTATTAGGCTCAGATCTTTATGGAATACATATGCTAAGTAATTCCATTTTGCTGGAGTTCTGTGAGGGTAGGAACAAGAGGATAATTTATAGTGCATCATTTCAAGAGTCCACCAGACATATATGACTGTTTAACTACAACAGTGGTTTATAAATTATGGGCACTGTATTCCTGTACTGTACAAAAAACACAATCTACGTAAGTGGCAGACAACACAATAAAGATTGTGAGGGCACATTTCTAGTGTAGTTGTCCACCACACTGAAACAGGGACCTCCAGACCTAGAACATATCATGCATACTAGAGCTCAAAACCTAACCTTTTTCAAGTTGAAAAATGGCCTGAAAAGAAAAAATGCAAGCAGTCTCATGTAGTAAGTGCTTAAGTGCTTCATTTAATAGGCTTACTGGATGAACAAATAAATAATTCACAGAAAGCTCAGAGAAAAAGCATGTACACTAGCTGCCAGGAAATATATATTGGAAATCAGAGTTCAGAAAGTCCTAGCAGAGAGTTCTTTATTCACTCAAATATTTTTTTTTCCTTTCCTGCTATTATAGGAAAAATCCACAACTGAACTGAAGCTCTTGCATGTAAAATAGGAATCCAACATTATTCAGCTTCAAGGTTCCACAGACAGATTATTATAAATCCTGCAGCCTCCATCCTAATTCTACTTCTATTTCATTTTAAGATCAGATTTTGAACCCTCTGAGACTTCCCCTTTCTATGCGTAAGAAATTCTTCTCCTGCACCACTGCCCACCACGCGCCCTACTTTTCCATTTTGCTAACCAGGTGCAACTGTATCATTGTACACTCAAAGGCCATCACTTCCATCTTATTCTCCTAGACACATACTGCAACCAAGGTCAGTTGCTTGGAGTACTCAAGACCTCACTTCACAATTAGTTTGAGATGAAAAAGGGTTGCCTCTAATTCAGCCCCGACTCTCTCTAAAGGGAGGCTGGTATCTGAGAATTCCTAACTGTTTTCTTCTGTTTTAATGACCACCCCTTACAAACCAAAAAGCAGTGTCTGGCAGCAAGACCATGAAATGATCAAGGATTTTCTTCTCAAAACTCAACCTGTAAACCTTTAGCAGTTAATATCTAAACAAGCAAGGAGACAATCTTCACTCTCAAAATGACATCACTTGGCATTTAGCACATAAATCAAATGCTAATAAGGAAGGACATAAATCACCAGCATTTTAACAATTTGTTCTGCTCCGCAAAACATTCTTTTATCATCAAAGCTGTTTTCTGAGGATTTGAAAAATAGCCACATCTTACTCATTCCTTCTAACTGAAAAAGTTTCAAGGTAACACCCAAACCTGTCAACAGTAAGGAAAACCGAGTTGTTAAAAATAGTAATAAAAGGAAAAAATAGTTTTTCAATATCAGGACAAAACACTAAAATACCAACTTGGATATTATTGCACAGTCCAGGAACAGCTGCTTCAGAAAGAAAACAGGAAAGACTTCTGGGAAATGGCTCTGCTTGGAAACTGAATTAATCTTGAATGCTAATAAAATTTGAAATGTTGCAGAACACCATTCACTGAAGGTAACTCTTGTTTAGAAAGCTTTCACTGTTAGGCATGGGATAATAGAGCCACCCTTTGTTTTCAGAAACTGCAGGGTAGTTGGTTTTTTGACATAATCTTCACCCTTCTATTATATGAATTCACAAACAAAGTGACTGCTTAAAATACAGTAATATTAGGGAATCTTTATCTTATTTAGGCCAACAAAAGCAAAGAGATTCAAGAGTGAGGCAGTAATCATGTCCTTAATTTACCTCACTGTCTGCCGTGTTGAATGATAGGCTCAGATTTTCAGAGACTACAATTACGGATCTAACAGCACATGGGGAGGCGGGGGGAGGGAAGAGAAAATTAAAAAAAAAAAAATCTGAAACCATGAAACTATCTCCCTATATTGTAAGTCCCTGGGATGAGACCTTATATGCCAGGTTCCGGTTCACAGCATGATTTAAGGCAAGCTATAACCTACTGAACAGAGCACAGTGGGCGAGGGCATGAACGGGGAATGCTGACAGACTGATAACTAAAGTGGCACTAGTGGGCGCAGTTATAACACTTTGTCCTTTCTCAGTCACTTCAACTAAAATGCTGGGAAGTAATGTATATTCCTTCAACATTTCCCCCCTTCCTTAACAAAAGGAGACACGTTAACACAAGATGTAGCTTGCAGAAAAATGAGGAAAGCTCAACAAAGCTTATTAAAACTAACAACTATAAAAATCCCATTTTTTGGTACTTATATTCCTTCTGTTCTCATTCCCCCTGATGAAGCAATATGCATGTTATTTTTAAAATAAACTATAATTTCATGAAACGTTAAATTTGTGCTTTAATTCAGCTGCACACAACCCTATTTTTTTTTGTTTGTTTCCCTGCTCACGCCCATTCCCCTGCCCCTCCTCTATACGGTTGTGCACCTCATTCACCTGTTATATCTACCTTTCATTTAAGCATGGGAAGTTTTTGGGATACAGTCTGTCATTTAATAAGTATCTGTACTGTGCCTAGTCTAATGAAGCTCCAGCTTTTAGGTGCTACAAAAATATGACGTTACAGAACAATAGTAATAAATTCCTCTTAAGAATGAGAAAAACATTTAAAATTGATGAGAAATTTAAGTCTATTACTTTATCTTAAATATATGGTGGTCAGAAGAAATGTATCATGCAGGCACAACACAGTACAGCCTGACAAACTTTAAAACGTCAATATGTATTTCTATCTGAAAAAAAGACCAGCAGTTTTGTGACCGAAAGGAAATATATGCAATGCCAAAATACTCAGATTCACAATGATTATTACAAAAGATTTAAAAAATATGGTCAGAATACAGATAGTTTATTTACAGTGCAAATCTAATTGCCACCAAAAAATTGTACAATGGCAATATGGCATGACAGTTACAACATTATGCATTTATATTGTAAAGTACATTTTATAGCCCCAGTTATGTCTACACCACAGAAATTAAGTTATTTTCCTCCTCTTCTTTTTTTTTGCCCATAGTGTTTTACTGTGCCAACAGTACAGACACGGAATGAATTAGTATGTTGTGGTCTAGCACACTAGAGCTTTTTGTAATGTTACAAACAATTAAACAATATCACAGTTAGAAGGCTATTTTCTCAGTACCATGTACCTTATTTTATTTGCCTCGCCTTTAAAGTTGCATAGCTTCTGCTACATTTACCAGGGAATTGAAAAACTGTGCTCTGCTTTTTAGAAAAATAATTGCTGGCATATTCTCATTTGCTGCCTGGTTCAGGGGTTTCAGGTTTGGACTACTTAAGATATTTAACTTTAAAGCATAACTTTGAAAAGGTCAAAGCTGATTTTCTATTCAAAAGAATCAGAAGAAAAACAGAAAAATAAAAAATACGTAACAAATGGAAAATACAAATTGTTGCCAGATAAACTACAACTGCAGATTGTCACTTAAGTAGCTTACACACTCTAAATATTGAGATTGAATGTTTAGTAAACATTGAGGGACAGGGGAAAATATATTGTATTCTATCCATAGCAAACTATGATCCAATGTATTTAAATTATGCTGCAATTCAAGTATCTCTGAAAACTTTAAGCAGTTCTGAGAAAGAATTTCCATAAGGCTTCTTGGAACAAAAATATGAATTTTCTGAACCCCACCCATAACCTGTAAAAAAAAGCACAATGAAAACAAATCTCGCCTCTTCAAAACTCTCATATTGCAGCTACAAAGGTCACTGGCCTCACATCCCAAAAGACCACCCACACTAGGGAGATGATTTATCAATTCCTACATTAGCATAATGCAATAAATGCCACATTCACCATTTATACTAGAAAAATGTCATTGAAACATTTGGCTACTGACCTTTCACAGCCAGGAAATGTGACATAGATATATACACTTGAGCATCAACAGCACCAGTGCTTGCACTGCACCCCTAAGCCGGGACACAAATCACTAAAGTAATACAGCTGGTATGCTGAATATCCCATTTGCTCCAGTCTGCACTTGAATGAAGTCATTGAAAGCCTCCTTGGAGGGGAAATGCGCCTCAGACTAATGCAGCAACCGATTGACAGTGGCGTGATTTCTATTATTACTCCATTATCACACTGGGATCTGTGCCTAAATGAGCATACTTCCTCCCTGATGCCATTTCCTTTTATCCTGGCTGTAGTCTAAAAGCGGATCAATGGGAGTAATACATATGATGTCACTTCAATTTACAGCTACTGCCTGCCTCTCTCACATGCAAAGATAGATCAATTCTTCCCAAAAATGGTTAAGAAATGCATGGGGAGACTCTTCTCCCAGAAAAGGGTTCTCTGCTATATTTGTCTATGTTACTACAGCAAAGAACTGTTTATACTGAGAGAAAACAGGGGGGAAAGGAAAAAAAGTCACTACTGTACACTGGAGAATGCTGGCTGAAATTCAACACAAACAAGGCCGAAAACAGAATTAAAGCAATTTGACCTTTGCAAATTATATTGAAAAGGCTATGAATTTCAGAGAGACAATAGATTCCAAACCTGTTTCCTCACTTGAAGGTAATCCTAGAAAAAAAAAATTGTAAAATTCCTTTTCACTTACATTTTTACTAGATCTCCCAAAGTCAAACAGAATTCCTTCCCACCCTTCTCATAAGAGAAAGAAAAAAAGGTGAAAAAAA